AAAGTCTTTGTAAATAGGGAGGGATGGAGGGGTTGAAGGGAGGGCAGGGGAAGGGGGAAAAAATAAGAACCAAGAGAGTATGTAAAGGTGCAAATTTCCAATGATGAATGTCATTATATTGTATACCTAAAATGTACCAATAAAAGGAAATACAAAAAAAAATTGAATTAGCACCAAAAATTGAAAGTTCAGTTATAAAACAAAATTTGTATCAACATAATATGAAGAGAACAGGCTGGGGATTTAGCTCAGTGGCACCCATGCCTGCCTCGCAAGCACAAGGTCCTGAGTTCGATCCCTGGCACAAAAAAAAAAAGAAATAAAGAGAACTATAAAACTCTGATGAGAGAAATAAAAGGAGATCTAAATAAATGGATAGATATTCCATAATCATAGATTTCTGATATATCATTTCTCTCCAACTTGAGCTACAGAGTCCACACAATCCTAATCAAAATTTCAGCAAATCATTTTGTGAATATTGACAAACTGATTCTATAATTTCTATGAAGAAACAAAAGACCCAGGATAATCAACACCATATTGAAGGAAAATGAAAAGAGGACTGATACTACCCAACTTTACTAAAAAGCTACCAAAATCTTGGTGTTGATACTGGCAAAAGAATAGACAGATCAATGGACTAGAATAGGAAGCCCAGAAAAGACCCACATAAATACAGTCAATTGATCCTTGACAAACAAACAGAGGCAACACAATGGAGAAAATGGCAGTCTTTTCAACAAATGGCCCTGGAACAATTGGACATCCACATAGACTTAAATGTAAAATTCAGAACTTTAGAGGATAATATGGGAAAACACCTGGGTGACCTTAGTTAGGTTTGGTAATGACTTTTTAGATACAACACCAAAAGCATGATCCATGACAGAAGACTGGTAATCTGGACTTCATTAAAACTGAAAATTCTAGGGCCAGGGATTTAGCTCAGTGTTTTCACCACCTACTGCGCAAGCGCAAGGACCTGAGTTCGATCCCCGGTACCAAAAAAAACCCCTGAAAATTCTGGGCTGATGGTAGAGTGGCTGGGGTAGAGTAGGGGTAGAGCTTAGTGGTAGAGTGCTTGCCCAGCACACTCAAGGCCCTGGGTTTGATCTCCAGCACTGGGAACATTTTTTTGAAAAATGCTTTGTGGAAAACACTGTCAAGAAAACAAAATGTCATATAATACTCCACATTAACAGAACCAAGGACAAAAAAAATCACATGATCATTTCAATAGACACAGAAAAAGCATTTCACAAAGTCCAACACACATTCATGATAAAAACTCTACAGAAAATTGGAATAGAAAGTCTTTATCTCAATCTAATAAAAGCCATCTATGACAACAGCCAACATCATACTAAATGGACAAAACCTGAAAGCTTTCACTCTAAAATCAGAAAAAAGACACTATCACTATCAATACTCCTATTCAATATAGTTCTGGAAACATTAGCCAGAGCAATTAGACAAGAGAAGGAAATAAAAGGAATAAGGATAGGAAAGGAAGAAGTTAAATTATCATTATTCAGGGATGACATGATACTCTACATAGAAGACCCCAAAACCTCCACCAAAAGACTTCTAGAATAAATAACCAAATTCGATAGCATAACAGTACACAAAGTCAACACTCAAAAAATCAATAGCATTCCTGTATAACAAACTAACTGAGAGAGAAATTAGGGAAACAACACCTTTCACAACAGCATCAAGAAAAATGAAATACATAGGAAACAATCTGACAAAGTGAAAGACTTCTACATTGAAAACTACAACACTAAAAAAAAGAGATTGCCAGGGATTTAGCTCAGTGGTTTCACCGCCTGCTGCACAAATGCAAGGACCCGAGTTTGATCCCCGGTACCAAAAGAAAAAAAATTAAATTAAATTAAAAAAGAGATTGAAGAGGATTAAGAGAAAATTGAGGGCCAGGAATTTACCTCAGTGGTTACGCTACCTGCCTCGCAAGTGCAAAGTCCCAAGTTCGCTCCCTGGTATCAAAAAAAAAAAAAGAAAATTGAAAGATATCTCCTGTTCTTGAATAGGCAGAACCAATATAGTGAAAATGGTCATACTTCCAAAACTGTTATATGATTTAATGCAATCCCAATCAAAATACCAATAGCATACCTCACAGACTTAGAGAAAACAATCGTAAAAGTCATATGGAACCAGAAGAGACCTAGAACAGTAAAAGCAATCCTGGGCAACAAGGGCAAAGCAGGAGGCATCACAATCCCTGATTTTAAGTCATACTACCAAAGCTATTGTGATAAAAATTGAATGGTAATGGGCTGGGGATTTAGCTCAGTGGTTTCACCGCCTGCACAGGCGCAAGGACCCAAGTTCGATCCCCGGTACAAAAAAAAACAAAAACAGGGCCAGGGCTTTAGCTCAATGGTGCTGACCTGAGTTCAATCCCCAGTACCAAAAGAAAAAAACCCAAACAAAAAAACCCAAGCCCAACAATGAATGGAACAGAAGATACAGAAACAACTCCAAGCACA